TATATATATTGTGTGTGGTGTGTGTGTGTGTGTATGTATATGTATATGTATATGTATATATATATATATATATACATATAAATATACATAAACATATATATATATATATATATATATCAAAATATGCAAAGACTCAAACAGTATTTTTTGGCTATTCAGCATACCTTGCCAGTGTTTGGATCGGGTCGGTGCAGTTCAAGAAATGATCCGCGAGCGACGCACAGCTCTTGCTGTTTGGTGCCCGAGAACTGCCCATGCACACATGTGGTGATAGATGTGTTTTTCTGCAACGTAAGATGGTATAGATGCATATTGATAATACTTCCGTAACTTGGAACGTGACTATATGAGAAGTTGTATATAAAAACGACCTGATTGCTAGTCAATAAATATCCTATCCCTACTAGTCTATCTGCAGTAGGTGTTGGCGTATTCTGCTGGTATTGCCCGTATCTCCGTCTATGCAAAAAATAATTGCCCCTTTATATGTCTACTATATGTATCGTATATGTACTATGTATATTACATACATGTATAGCTAAGCTTAGTTTGCAGTATAAGGTGCAAATACATATACCCCACTAATCTTGAATCGATCGATACGAATACTTTATTATGCATGAAGCTCAAGCTCAACTGTGACTCAAAACTTTTTGTGTTATTGCCGGCTGTCACTGGACACTGAGTCGCTCTCTCGTGTGGGATTTGTAAGGTTTTGAAGTTCTATAATTAGAATTCCTTCGTTTTAGGCTTTTTAGGGTTCTGAAATTTTGTGCGATTATTTTAGGAGGCTGTGATATTTGTGTACTGCTGTTGTGCCAACAGGAGGATGGACGAAGGTGGTTGTTGGAAACAATGAAGAAGGATCCTAACGACTAAACAGAAAAGCAATGTCACACCAAGAGACAGTAGACGAGTATGTAGCTTTTGCTCTGTACTGCAGGTGTTTTTATGCGGATAGGATATGTATCACTATAAACTGGGTTCAATAGATAATAACATATGTCGTTTTAAAGAGTATACCCAGGTGACTGCAAGGACAAACAGAGCTAGAACAGTGCAAGTGCAACTTCACCCGAAGCTCACAATGCAACGCAGTGTTACAGAAGCGTAGTGGTAGCTATTTAGACTCAAGGTGAAGATGTTAGGTAAACATTAATTTCAAACTCTTCGCCAGTTTAAACATGGATTTTAAACTCTTATGCCAGTTTATTACACATGTACGCAGCAACTATGAGACTGGATAAATCTGATTCAAATGTTAGATATCGGTATCAAGATTTGTTCCGATACTAAGGCTTAATACAGCAATTAGTACGAATATATGGTTGAACCTAGAAAAGTAGTCGCATCGAGGTGCACAGAATTCACCGTCTATCCTGGGAGAACAAAATTAGACAAATAAACTATGGCAATCATTCTTTAACAAATGGGAAGTATACCCCGGCCCCCCGTAACTGATTGTAAGCTGTGTGTACCTGACCGGCCACACTATGTAACTGGCCGGCTACGACATGTCGATTGCATCGCAAAAGATTAAACGCGTTTTGTACTGATCCAACCACTTCTGCTCCTATCTAGTCGCACAAGACTGAAACTATGGCACTGTCTGACGATTCCGCTGTACTCTCCGTCTAAATTGTTTATTGAAACAGAATAGCTGAGCACTATTTCTCAACGTCATCTCTTGAGAATGGCATCCCTTACGGAAATCTTCTATCTAGCTCACAGATTTCTGGTTTCTGCTAGCTGTGGTTCAAAGCCAACAGTCAGATTTTAAGAGATATGGGGCAAATACGATACCAGCCTCTTATCAGCTCTATCCGATCTTCGGTTGTCGGAGGTACATGCCCGAACGATACAGGCTGTACCACCCGATCACAAATCAGTACATGATGGTTGGCCATAGCCACGAATACTGATATGTTCTTACGGCCAATAATGCAGCCACATATTTCACAGCAGCTAGTGAGACGCTCGTTTCACTTAACCCTATCGGTTCAGATAGGAAGGTTTTGCAGCGTCACTCTCTCGATGATTCATTGTGCGCACGTGTTTGTTCTAGTCCGCTTACATATGCCCTGACCCCGTATCTATATCTACATGTGATAGAGACGGGGACGATGGGCTTGCACATTACTAGTGAGGTTATAGGTAATCTCAGGCTTAGTCATACCAGTAAGGACACTGTAGAGTGTGCGGACCATGGAACATGCTTGACAATTTCGGTAGTACCTCCGGTGTGCTTCCGTACGTGATGCAACACGTGCATGTGTACATAATTCTGTTCGTGTTCTCAGATATGATTCCTATTATACATGCTCGGATGTATCTATGACTGACGACGTGTCCGCACGCAGCAGGCTATCCAGATACAAGTATACAATACAATTGCATCCTAAACTGCCGCAGGGCACGGAGTAGTTCCCTAGGGTTGTACTATGTTGCAACACTCTCGGCACAGCTATGCAATTAACTCCCCGCTACTATTTACGTACTCAGCGATACTCTACACATTGAACCATACTATACTATACTATAGAGTGATGGCACCAGATGCATCACAGAGACCTGATTAAGATGTATCGCAGCCCGGTATCGAGAGGATTCGTTAGTTCGAGGCCTAGCGGACGATACTTCCTGTGGTTCTCCTGGGCTATGAACTCGTCTAATATCCGCAATTGCTGCGTTCGAAAGCGACGACCGTGGAATTAGATCGTTGAGATACGTACGTATATGATCAAAAATGTACGACAAGGTGTGATATAGTACAGAAGATGTAGAAGCAGATGAGCAAGATAAGCCGATGAAGTTAAGCCAAAGACGAAACAGATGCAAAACAGGATGAACTGCGAATAACTAACTATATTAGACAACAATCAATATAAGATATGCGGGACTGGGATAGAGAAAGCTGGGTGAGAAATGAAGTATAATGGGATACATATCAATCACAGACGAGTCTGTATACAGAGCTATGACAAGGCGAAATTATGCAAGATCGAATTCGTAAACCCGTATAGGATGTACTACTCTTGTGCCACACTACCTGGCGATATATAAGCTATGATTACGCCGTGAAACTGCATTCCAGTTGTGACGATGTGTTCTAGCTTTATGACTGCCCTCCAGCGATATCTCTTTGCGCAATTAAACTAGAAAATATCGGTATACATATACAACTAGCGGCACACAATAGTCGAAGTTCGAGGTGTGTGTGTGGCTAGCAAGGGAGAGTAAATGTGCTGCAGTGATAAGTACCCTCCGCAGTGCGATCACATGATGCCGATAAAAGAAAGAAAAAATCACCACATATACACTCTCCGTCGTAATTCAAGGTATAATTTGAGCTTGTGGGTCTGGGATGATTGTTTCTGTATGAGTGTACGCGTGTACACGTCTGAATAAGACCATAAGTGCGTAAGTGTCCGTGTGTGAGTAGGTGTGGTTGTGTAGAGGATAAGATACATCGATTTTACGAGTGTAGTATGTGCGTGCTGATTATATTCTTCGTGGTGGCGTTTGCGATTGATATACCAATGCCTAACTAACGGTTGAAAATGAGAAAGCGTTGCATAATGAGACGACGTAATAGGCCATATCCGCTAAAGCAGTGCATGATCTCTGGACTTCATATTGATAGCAACACTCACAAATGTGTAACTACTGCAAAATGAACTGATGTACAAGCTGAACGCTGATAACTATCAGCAATGGTGTTTACACGCCATCATATCACAGGCGTACCTTGCCATATGTAGACTCTTTAAGTCGAAACCACAGATAGAAAGTCAGGAAGCCCATTAAAGCGTCGAAAACCGTGTCGAAGTTCACTTTCTCGGCCTCTACAAATATCTCATTGATCCTTTCTACAGTTCCATATAATGTATCCTCCGGCACCTTGATGCATGTGGAAATTGCAAATTAATAGACAATCTATGCTGATTGAAGTTGGAAACATCGTTGTGATTGTAGTTAACTAAAATTAAACTACAAGAATAGAATGAATATATATATATATATACATATATTATGTATACATATACATATATGTATGTATAAATATATATATGTATATATA